CTGCCCAGGGACGTGGTGGAGTCCCCATCCCTGGAAGTATTTAAAAGACGTGTAGATGAGGCGCTTAGGGACATGGTTTAGTGGGCATGGTGGTGTTGGGTCGATGGTTGGACTCGATGATCTTAGAGGTTTTTTTCCAACCTTAATGATTCTATGATTCTAAGCGGAGAATGTTCATCTTTTATTCAATTCATGCTAGTCTTGCGAGCAAAGGAGGAAGAACAGGTGTGGATGACACATTTGAGGTGCAAACTAGGGAATGCAGTGGCTGCTGGATCCTGCCGAGATTACAGTTTATAAATGCCTGGAGAACTGGGACTGCTACCTAAGAGGCATGAATGTCGGGGCTACCTTTGTAGGAGCCGCTTTTTAAGAGCTTCTGTTTAATTCCAGAATCAGCAGGATCCAGAAACCCCTGCTTTATACTAAAGCTGCTCCCCCAGTTAGCTGATACATAGCACCTAGCATCTGACATTTCCAGTTTCTCCTGGGTTCTAGATTTAGCAGACCAGCTGTTACTGATGTTGTTGCATTCCTACATGACTCCATTTGGCATATTTCTTTTGCTCCACCTGTGTTAATAGCCTCAGGTAGTATGATCAGAATCATATTTTCCACATTAATAACCATTATTGAGCAGATATACAAACTATTGACAAAATGTCCAGCAAATCGGTGATAAAGATTGTTCCTTCTGTGTATGGTGCCTGAGCAACGGAAAAAGAAAGAGCATTTAACTTCCTCCTTTCTGCCAGAGCTCTTGAGGAGGCACCTTCTCTCCCTTTTGTTTCCCAGCTAAGGCAGAGCTCCTGCAATGCTGAAAATACTGCATCTCTGTACAAATTTGCTTTCTAATTTCAGCTGGATGGGTTTGGTGAGGTATGTAAATGTTCAATCAAAAATGCAGTACTGAGAAAATAAGAGATGAGGAACAATCTAGAGTTAAAGAATTACTCTAGATTCATTTTCACAGAACAAGGAAATTCAAAGTTAACCAAAAAAAAGTGACCAGCAAGTAAACATAGAAACTGAGTACAAGAAGTACCTGGCTTGATAGTTGAAAGTAATTGGCCCAAGTCCTAAAATCCTCCTCATTTATTTACTTGAACAGAAGTCTACTTAATATTGTGGGAGTTTTGCTCAAGTAAGGGAGATAGCTATACATGGGATTAATGACTTTTCCTTTCCTGTTACTTGTTTTAAAGGTATCTTCACTTCTGTAAGCTTCCAGGAAGAGTTATGGGAATCCGCCTACTACACTTCACTTCTGTGGTGATCATTGTCTTACTTCTTGTGGCGGGTGCTTTAACGGCTTTGCTTCCCAATATCAAAGATGACAAAATGCCCAATTTGAGAAGGGAACCAAAAACCCAGAGTCAGTCTGCCTTGGATTCGTTTACTCTTATTATGCAGACATATAATAGAACTGACTTACTGCTAAAGCTTTTAAATCATTATCAAGCCATCCCCCATCTACATAAAGTAATCGTCGTGTGGAACAACGTTGGTGAGAAGATACCAGAGGAAATGTGGAATTCCTTGGGGCCTCATCCTGTCCCTGTTGTCTTTAAAGTTCAAACGGTAAATCGCATGAGGAACAGACTCCAGAATTTCCCTGAGCTGGAAACAAAAGGTAATCAACAGTTCATATCGCTACTACTAATATTATTTTCACATTTAAAATCTGAACGCTAAAAGAGAGATGGTTTGAGTTAACGCTAAAAGAGAGATGGTTTGAGTTATACTATGTAATAAATCCATGGATCTGTTGGGCCACTTAATAGAATGTGGATAATACAGGAGAAACCTATGTTATGATATCAGATGCACACCACCACCATCAGCAGGCTAGAGGTTGTCAATGAAGAGTAAGGAAAAAGAGGGATGTCAAATGCAGTTCATGGGCTTTTGCAACTGTCTGTTCTCTGTTTCCTTTGTCAGGCAAACATAGGTAAGGAAAAAAAGAGGGATGTCGAATGCAGTTCATGGGCTTTTGCAACTGTGTCTGTTCTCTGTTTCCTTTGTCAGGCAAACATAGGTAGTTCAGCCTCTCTTCCCTTTATAGTGTAAGCTGAAATTCATAGTGCATGTATTTGTTCAGTCTCTGCATTAATTTGGACTTAAGCCATCTGGTAAAGACTTGATTTAATCCATTGATTTTAAGACTAAGTTCTCAAGCACGTTCTGGTCTTTGGAGAAACTTCCCTTCCTAGCTGTCTGGTTTTCTATCTCAAATTATGCGTCCTTTTTAAGAGTGTTTTCCCCAGTCTTTTGGCTATTCATCTAAATATTCTTCCTAAGCTCTTTCCAGGAGAAGCACAACAATAAGCCCTGTGTGTTTCAAGTGGAAAAAAAACCCATATGTTGCATTACAGACCTGACCTTACTCATGATTAGTAAAGGTAATTCTATTTACTGCCCCCTTCCTAACATGCCTTGCTACTCAAAACCCATGACTTCTAGGAAGGCATGAGCAACTTCAGCTTCCCAAGTGTTTTATTTACTGTAATAGGATTTATTCCGACTATAAATTTAAGAAGCTTTAATGTGTCCGGAGTTCTGATCTAAGAATAGCTTTCCTTTTCTACTTCCTGATAGTCTTTTGCCTAAAATTTAAGGCAAAGATTCTTCCTTCTGTAGTTAATAATATTGAATGTTGCCTGTGCAATTTATTAAGCTTGCTTATTTAGAACTTGCAAGTAGTGAGGAGACGGGTAAAATTTTATACTAAGAATCCCATATAAATCTCATACACTAAAGAATGGTATCTAACTCTTTATTTTAGTTCTATTTTTACACAAGATTAGTAGAATTTTAAGTTGCTTTGCCAAACACTCCAAGTTTTCCGACGCGTATCTGTCCAGCTGTACTACAGATGATCAAAGGTTGCTGAGTTTTGTTACAGCCTGGCAAATAATCTAAAACTGAGGTTTGCTTCCAGTTACCACAAAGCTGCAACCTTGCTTTAGCTTTGAAATCTAAATATGTTTTCTCAATCTACTTTCAAGGAGTTACTATTCAGTTCTGCAATTCAGCTTAATGGTTATAGAAGTTTCACAGCTAACTTGTCAAATACTGTGCTGCATACTGTGCTCGTGTATTTAATCTTTTGATAAGTTAAAAGTTTTTCTGTTTTTTTTTTCTCCCTTCAGCTGTTTTAATGATGGATGATGATACACTAGTCAGTGCTCATGACCTTGCTTTTGCCTTTTCTGTTTGGCAGGTAATGTTTTGCACCTTGGCAGGCAGTATTTGTGAGTTACAATTCAGATTAATGGTTTTAATTAGAGTAATACTATATCATAATGTTTTACCATTGATTTTCTAGCTATAAAGCTAAATTTTAGAAGAATTGAAGCGTTGAATAGTAGAAATTGCAAAAATATTCTTCAATAGTAGCTATACCTGTAATCTATAACTTTAAAATTTGTAACTCTTGTACGTGAACACTGAAGTTGCTGACTGCTGAATTTATTTAAATTGATAGTAGGCTGCAAAACAAAAGTGTGTGGGTGTTTTCTCTCTAAGAGAAATTGTCTGTAAACTTATTTTGAGTGCCAAATATACAGCTGCAAATTGTGGATAGATGTTTCTTGGCACTACGTGATGTGGAATGAGGCATATTGTGTCAGTTTTGCAAAACTGTATTTAATTGCATCATTTATGCAGATCAAAGGACCACATGCCAACAATTTCATTCTTTCCTGGCAATAATCTTGTGCTCCTCTCATTTAAAAAAAGCATAAATCTGTCTTATGAAAATACTTAACCCATATCACAATGTGGGCTTCATTGTGATTTTTTGAATTTCTTTTTCCTTTCAGCAATTTCCAGAGCATATAGTGGGATTTGTTCCTAGAAAGCACATTTCTACTCCTTCAGGTGTATACAGTTATGGCAGCTTCGAATTGCAGAACCCTGGATTTGGAAATGGAGATCAGTATTCTATGGTTCTTATTGGTGCAGCATTTTTTCATAGTGGGTATTTAGAAGACTTTCAAAGACAGCCAGAAGCTGTTTACGCCTTAATAGATGAAACTCAAAATTGTGATGATATTGCCATGAATTTTCTGGTAGCCAAGCATACTGGAAAGCCTTCAGGAGTGTTTGTGAAGCCTGTTGATATAAGAAATTTAGAAAAAGACACTAACAGTGGCTATTCTGGAATGTGGCACCGAGCAGAGCATTTGTTACAGAGATCTGACTGAGTAAATAAACTGGTTAATATTTATGATGGCATGCCTTTAAAATATTCAAATATCATGATTGCTCAGTTTGGTTTTCCTAATTATGCCAATCACAAAAATAAAATGTAAGCCAATGAATTTAAGGGGTTAGATGTTAAACAATACTCAGTGAATTGTACTGAGTTCAAGGAGAGAAGAAGGTGTAATTACTGCATCTTGGCCATCCTTGTTTGTAGCCTCTGAATTTTTTTAATTTGGCTTTTTATGTCTTTTTTTTTTCCTTTCTTACTAGTTCTCCAAGGTACATTTTGAGAAAACTTAAAGATTATATACTAATGTTTAGCTGTGATAAAATAATCATAAAAGCTATTACAGTTAATTAGGCCAGTTCTTCAGAAACATGCAGACAAAAATGCACTCCTACCCTTCAGTGCTTATGTTTTGATTTTTTTTTTTGAAATATATGTATCTAGTCATATGAGGTCTAGGCATATTTTTGATAGTTATATGTTGAGATGCTTCCTTGCCTTCCCCCTCCTCTCCTCACCTCTTCCTACCCAGTTCCTAGTGAAACCGTAGAAGGGCTACAACAAACTGTTGGCCGGGCTTCTAGACTCCTGTACAAAACCCCTTTGAAATTTGTATATAAGCTACTCTGTATTCTGAGATGTTCCTGAAGCTGCTATGAAAGCAACCCAGAAGAGTACCTCACCTTAATCTCAGATAGTCCTAAAACCATTGCCTACAGTATCTGCTACTGCTGAGATAGTGGAAAATGATCTCTGATGTGGCTTTTTTTCCTCTTATTAATTTGCCTAGAGTTGCTGAAACACTGCAAGCAGCTGAAAGGTAAAACCCAGCAGTTGGAAACGTAAGAAACATGAATGTATGAAACTTATATAAGCAGCCAGAAGAAATGGATGGGATATTACTTATTAATACTCTCTTTAGTACTTAGTTTTATTTTGATATTTTGCATGTACATTGTTACAAAAATGTGCCCAAGAAAATCCTCACTTTTTAAAAATGTCTTATTTACAATTCCTAATAAGAGCAAGCTGTTCTACATTTATTACAGAGTGTACATTTTGTAATATTACAAAAAAACAGGTTTACTGTTTTTTTTTAACTATTCTTTCAAATGAGTATTTGCTTTTTGGTTCCTTTCATCTCTGTTTTTTGGTGGCTATGACAACAGAATTAAAATGTGCAACGAATGGGTAAAGCATTATAAAAAAAAGTATTTTAAGGTACAGTGATATTTGACAGGGCTGGACTATTATCGGTCTCTGAATTCGCTGGCTTCATCTGTAGTAAGAAACAGAGCTATTATTAACAGCTTTTGTTAGATTGGGACTTTGTAGTTCTGGAAACGTTGTGTCAACATAGACAGGACAAACCTTTTCCATTGCAGTTACAGAACTTTTTTGTGGTACGGAGGAAAGAACAAAAGACAGTGATTTTCCTGGATCACAGAGAGGAATCAAATCTGGCATGCAAAGTCGATTTAGTTTCATCTGCATCAGCTTTTAATTGATTCTCAGTATCAGTTCAAAGGTATCTATGGGCAATCAATAACAGCTAACACCTAGTACACAAATTGCATCTGCACAAATGGTGTATAATTTTAGCATTTTTTGTAATAAGTTAGTTGAACAAAAAGTGGTTGAAAAATGTGACAAGTTCTTTACAGCAGGGCTGATTCTGGGTGTGAGTCTTTGGGTTTCTTTGGGGGAACGGAGGATTCTTTTACCCCGTTCTGTCAGTGTTAAAGGATTTGGTTTCTGTTCAGTGAAGTCTTCCTAGTACTTTTGCAAGATTTAAAGGGCAAAATCTTAAAATGGCAATGTAAAGTCTGCTTAATTTTGTTGTAATAGTGAAAAGTAGCTTTTAATTATTGTGCTGTAGTGATAAGTAGTATACAAAGAGGTCTATGATCGTTCCAGAAATGCAACTTTCCTAGTGGTAGTTTACTGCATTTCATTTACTTACTGGTCTTCTGTAATTTCTGTTCTCTGCAGTATCGACTAGAATTGTGAAGACTCACAGATGTTGTTTGCCTTTTATAATGTGAAATGAACTGTCAACTCAGCCAAATCTTAGCATTGGGTTCTTTGTTGGGGGGGAGGAGTTGTTTTGGGTTGGGTTTGGTTGTTTGGTTTTTTTTGTTCTTCTGTATCAGTGAAAAAATGAATAGAACAAGCTTTTATTATACTGGTAAATTTAATTTGTACCATTGTCAAATAAAGTACATAAAACAGATTCACAATGTATTTATTTTCAGATTATTCACCAAGTTTTTCAGTGTTAGATGTCTAAAGTAAGCTCACAGTTTGCATACAGATGAGCAGCACCAAGATTTCATTTTTTAAAAAAATGTGTATTTGTTGGCACATACATGTAAGGTGCACTCATGAGGAAAAAAAAGCCATCAAAAAACACAGCCTTAAGCAGTTAGGCTTAGATAGCAAAGAAAATTCAAAGATAAGACTTCAGCTCTAGCCATAATTCATTGTGCTTAGAAATCAAAAGGGTTTTGTTTGCTTATTTTTAAAGGCTGGTAACTTTTTATCCCTTGATGGTTATAAAAGTGCCTTAAGATTCTTCAATGTGAAATATATTCCTGAGAATTTATATTTTTAACAAATTAATATGCACGTGATGATTTCTTCTAAGATTATCTAGATGTCATTTGGAAATATTTTGGAGTCTAAACAGATTCATCACTACCTCTGAATGTTTTGTAGAAATTAATGTTTATGCAACACAGGATTTTAAAAATTGTATCTAAAAGATGTATTTAAAAAATCATTGTTGAAAAAATCAGGATATAGTCTTAAAATGATGCAACAGGACTACAAGAAAATTGCTTCTTTACCTACAGTTAAAAAAAATGCCACAAGATGTCACTGTAGCCTTGATATTTGATATCATCAAATGTTAAAAATAGTAATTGGAATTTATTAAAATAAAATTGTATGAAGTGAAAACATTCTTAAAGCTAGCATTTTACAAGGTGAAATTCATTAGATAATCATACTAAAAGCTGTGGGACACAATACTGGAACTGAAAAAAAATGGAGGTTATTTTGTACATATTTTTACAGGGAAGAAGAGAAAATTTTAAGTATTTCTATGCTTACAAAGGCTCTAGCTAATTGCCACAAATGAGAACTTGCATGCAACCAGAACAGTAGTTGTAATTTTGGAAAAGGTATGTAAGTGGTATACAAACAACATTTGGCAGTGGGGCTTCAGTTTCTAGTCATGTTTGCCTCCTAGATTCACCAGCCTAGGTAGATGGATTTACAAATAATAGGCTTTAACACAAACTGTATCTAGGGATTCTAGGTACTGGCTAGCTAGCCTGTTACACGGCTCCATCTTTGCTTCTGTTGCCCAAGATACCTTAGTTAAAGCTAATTTGAGTATGTTCATACAAACTCCCCTCAAGTAGAGTGCAGCGCAGACTTAGAAATGTATGTAACATTGAACTGTAATGAAAGTTTGAGTAAAAAAGGGTGTTAAAAAACTATGGTCCTAGAGAAAATACATTGATATCTCTTCTCTTACACAGGATATGTTACCCCTTAGAGAATTGCTTGTAAATAAAAAATGAAATTTTGATTTAGTTAAGGGTTAAATACAAGTGAAAGTCTCATAGAACAAGATAGGTAAAGATAAACACATTGATTTCCATGAAAAGCAAGTACCCTCCAACAACCTTTATTTAATTTGCTCTTACGGAAGACTACGGTCTCAGTCTTGCAAGCATCTTGTATAGAATAGTACTTACTGCTGAGAATGAGTTTTCTTACCTAAGTTCACAGGACCAGGCCCAAAGAGAGTCTCATTTAGGAATATTAGTTCTGGAGCTATGAAAAAAAGGAAAAAAGGGATGTAAGAACACAGGTACAAATTATTAGAACCAATACCAAAAATAAACAAGCAACTACAAAACAATTGCACGAGAGACGTATTTTCTGTAGTACTTCAACACATTTGTAAGGCTTTAAAGATTATCCAGTGCTTATGACACTAGATTAAAAATTGATGAGTCAAAAGTGTTTTCACACTCGTGTTTAGCCTCATCTGCAGACACACGAGTTAATTATATGAACTGGTAATTACAGTGGTTATTTATAGTGTTAGGAAAACATAGTGATAATAATGTGGACCTCAGGGCTGCATATTGCTTTGTATTACAATGACTTTTTAAGGTGTTTCAAGGGTGGGGTTTGTTTTGTTTGGGGGAAGAATAGCATCCTTTTTTTCCTCCTCAGGGTACCTCTCCTTTGCAACGTTTTGCTTGTATAGTTGTAAAAATGAGATGGACCGTCTGCTCTGTCTTTCGAAAGGGTAGGGTGGTAGAAGAAAGGCATTTCTAACCCTTTTAATGCTTCTATTTCTTTGGCAGTAAGTTAATTGCAGACTACAAGCTAATTCAGCTTTTGCAAATGAACCACCAGAAAGCCAACCTTTCACTTTTTTTAAAACATTAAGCTACAAGTAATTTTGTGTAGTTTTACGACAGCCTTAGAAGCATACGTGAAACTCTTCATTGCTAGATGACTTCCCAGGAAGAGCGAGAGCCCATAGCTCGAACCAGCGCGTTAGGAGAGCTTCACGCGATCGGGGTGCGTCTCGTCCCTTTCTGTTCGCAAGCGGCTTCCCCCAGATCTTGCTCCCCCTCGGTTCTCCCCAGCAGACGACGCTGCCCAGCGGCTACAACTCTTCGCCTGAGGGAGGCGAGGAAGGGAGGGTCCAGGGGGTGACAGAAACCCCGGCGGGCGGGAAAGGAGGCGCCTGCGTGTGACCAGCGGGCGGGGGGCGCCGCAACCGGGGCTCAGGTGAGGAGAGCCCCGCTCGAGGGGTGCGCCCGGCAGCAGCCCTCTCTTCACCAGGCACCGCTCGCTCATTGGCTGGAGACGTAGGAAGGCAGCTTTTGATTGGTGCGCCGGTTTGTCTATCAGGCTACATGGTGGCGCAGACCGGGCCGGGCCCTGCGCGAGTCAGTGTCCCAGGCAGGGGAGAGAGAGCTCTGCAGGCGCGGTGCAGCGCTTCCCTTCTCCCCTCAGGCGGCCTCCCGCCCAGCCTGCGCGGCTCGGTCAGTCACCTCCGCCCTGAGCTGGACCTGCACTGCTGAGGTACTAGCTCCGGCTCAGGTCTGCTTCCCGCCGCCTCAGGCCCTGCGAGTTGTACCTCAAGACCCCCTCTGTCTGCGTGGGGCGTTCTGCCACGGGCCGCCCTCGGGCGGGAGGAGAGGACAAAAAAGCGCCGCGGGGCGCGGAGGCGCTGCCCGGGCGCGGGGAGGGCCGC